TGGATTTCACATGAACAACTTAGATTATACTACTTGTCGCATCCAACTGGGTTTACCTCCCTTACTCAATTGGCTAAATATTGAAAGTCTTTCCGTAGTCAATACTAGGCATCTTGACCAGGTCAAGTTTCTTCACTTTTCCTCGCGAACACAAGCTTTTTATGACTCATTATTTGTTAGATTCCCAAGATTGGGGGACACTTTACCCATAGATGTCACAACAGAAATTGTTTTCAGTCTTAATTCTTTTATTTCAAAGTTAAGAGACCATTGGTTGTCTCCTGAGGCTAACACTGTTTGATGCCATAATATTGATCCTGTATTTTTACTGTATATTCCATTGTTTATTTATTTAGTGTTATTTTTGTGCATTTTTGTATTTTAAGTCATTTTTTATCCAGTGTTTGTCTTGTATTTGTTGACATTTTTATGGAGACCCTCTCGACAGCGATCGAGTTCGCTTTTAGGCTATCCATCAGGGGTGTCAGCAAATATTGATCCTCTATATTGATATGTATCGGTTTTTGTATTTTGTGTTGGTTTTTGTACCCTGAGAAATAATAAATGAAATGAAAAATTGCAGATTATTATCTCAATCTCAGTGAGCAAGCACACATCACCAGAGCAGTGTCAAGTGACCCAGAGTTTGTGTGTGATAGTCCACTAAATTGTGAATGAACAATCATTTGGGCCTCATAAGTTTGAGACATATTCTAGTCATGAGAGTTCAAAACTCCTCAAGGCACATGTGCGTCAGAGGCAGCCACAGCCACTACAGGTCATGACTTTTTTTAGCAGGCGCAATTGGTCTATCACCAAAGCTGCCAAAAGATAAAATCTGCACTGTGCCCGGTTTTGGAAAGGTAGGTCACATGTAGACAATCCTGCTATGTCACGTACAACGAATGCAGCTATATCAGAGCAGAGAGAAATTTAACACACTGTTTCAGTCATGCTATTTAGCGTCAACAAGTGTCCGCACTCATAAGTAGCATCAACAAAGTGTCAACAACTGAAAAATATCCTCTGAAGGTTTCAAAGTGGTTTTATCATATTTTATACTCTAATATGTTCCACTGTGTAAGAAAAACAGGGAATTTTATTCCAGATTCACGCAGGAAAATGAAACCTTTTGCGATGTAAGGGCCGCCATCTTTAAGTTTTAGACATAAACCTCCGAAAATTGCCATGTTTAATTTAAAACCCTTGTAATGTTTGAAAGTGTATATCTGAATTGAAAAACATACGTCTAGGAACTATGAACATTGGTCACTTTCATCAAAAAGATGAAGGGTTGAATTTAAATTGAACTGTTTCACTAGTTTAGTCTCTCCTATAAGAGAGACTAAACCTATCAAACTGCATCAGTTTACAATTTCCATCCGTTGCCCAGAAGTCAGACACAAATTCTAAGTACATCTGTAAACACAGGGTCGTCAAAGGCCAATCACACTTTATTGAGAACAGTGTTACAAGAATTTTTTCAGAAATTTCACTTCTACCAGAGATGAAAAACGTGAAAGAATTGCAATTCCTTCAAATGTCTCTAAAAATCCAAATTTCAGCAAATGCCCTGCAGTGGAGCCCTCAATCACAAGTACCTAGTCAAGCACTTCTACTGAGTACTTTTTTCTCCCTGGATTATTTGTCAACTGGAATCGCTGTTTGCTGTGGCTCAGGAGCTTCACTTGCCCATAGAAATTCTGTGAGTACAATTTGCAAGGACGTAAATTCCAAGGGGGATGGGGGTCAATATTCCCCCCCCCCCCGACCTAAAGGGGGCTACTGAATTATTCCCTCCTGTAAACTTTTTCCAAGAAGAAAAAATGTTAAGGTGAAATCTGAAAAATTTTCAGACTTATCAACAACCAAGATATATTCAATAACACTGTAGAAGGAAAACAAATTTGAAAAAAAATCCTTAAATATGCTGTTATATTGTAAGGTTTAAGGGTGTAAGTATACATTAAAGATGTACATCTGTATTAGGAACAGCACCCCCTCCCCTCTCCAAATTTCCATGGCCCCCACCCCCCAGCAAAATTTACTCCACAGTAGAAACAAGTATTGTTCCAAAGACCATATGATTCAATTTACATGTATATATAGAAAATATTTCATGATCATCTCTGTGCTGCTCATCTGATAAGAAAAGCCGGTCCTTGTACACTGTACATGAACATACATATATTTATGAGGAATGAGTTTTGGTCCAGTGTTGCAGCAGGATATCCTACAATCTGCCATTTGCCCTCTGTATGTGAGACTACTATGGTATCACAGTTTGATAAGGCTTTTGGTTGGTTAACTGGAAAAGAAAAACTGTAGGCTGGCCAACAGCACTGTACTTGTTGAAATAACCCCTGCCACAGTAAATCAATGTAAATAAACCAATGTAAAACTGCAATCACTTTTAACCACTTGCTGCCGGGTGGATTTTTCTTGAGCAAAACAAGATGCCCGGTCCTTTTCAAGACTTTCTGTTTTCAAAATTCTTCAAAAATTCATCATTTCATTTAATGGCCGTTTATACCAAAATGAAGGACTCTTTGGGCACTACTCAAAAGCTGACAGGTAAAATTCATTGACTCCTGAATATTTCAGCCAGGCCTGCAGCCTTGGAAAAAGAGCCCAGATTGTGCGGTGTTACGTAAGATTCTTTTGTTCCCGAAACCGGCCAGTGCACTGCTGACCTCTTTTCAATAGGGGCCAGATTAGCATGCAGCGGTGCTATGTGGCTCATCGCTGCAGTGGTGGAGAGGTTTTGTCCCCGGTGGTAATCCGCTCTCTCTAAATGCCTCGAACCTTGGTATACTGTTACAAAACAAGGCTGGATTATCTCCACTATTGATAGCAAAAAAATGTCAGTAATGCCCAGCAGCTCAGTCTTTTGTGCTGAGCACGGTCTTTTGTTATGAGGCCCAAATCTTTTGTCCCAGTTCCGGGCACCCCAGCTCTGCATATAAAGCCTATGTACTCGAAAATGGGTCACCCAGCAGGGAGTGGTTAAGGTGATGTGCTGATTCCTCATTGTTTGAGTTGTTCTTTTTCTTTCTTTTCTCTTGCAGGGTGGCAATTCTGTATGAGTGTTTCTCTAGATGGCCCACTGAGCAAATCTGAAACTTGGTAAAGTATCAACCCAAGTGGCGTAACTATGAGAAGGCAGTGGAATTAAGTCCACCCCCCTCGCCATGCCACCCATTTCAAAATGTACACTGCCTATGTACAAGCCCCACTGGCAAATTGTGTTCCCTTTGGGTGCCCCCTCAGATGTTTGCCCCTAGTTACTCTGCTAATCAACCCTAATCTGAAGATGTATACATGTATTATATATGTTGCAATAACTTTATCATTATTAGGAATCATGTGTCAAGAAATTTGGTTCATGTTTGAACTTAGGGCAGTGAAATACTGCTATAAAGAACGCAGCTATCCAAACATTTGGATATCCCAAACACCCCCCTTGGCTCCTGAATTTATTGTGCACTTTTAATACTGAACATTAAATTTGTTTAAATAAAAGAAACATGTTTAGAACTGATGATAACAACTCAAAGTTGAGAAAAATCGCACTCATGATGCAACAACAGCCAACATATGGCACTTTGTGTATCGCATGTGCCTCCTAGTGCTACTGTATTAGAATGGTTCCCAGTGCAGCCCACTTATCAATAGCGTCATTTTTACCAACAGGAACCAGTGTTTCAGTTACAGGTACATGTTGCATAGGGTTGTTAAACAATGACTGAATAGAAACTTGATTTCAGTTCATGAGTCTACTTTCAGTGAGGACTAGTGTAAAGGTGCTACATAAAAGGAGATGACAATACATTTCATACAATTAAATGTTTTATATATTTAAATTTCTTTTCTGTGTGTACATGTAAGTGTTGACTCAAATTCCTCATTCCAAAACATTATGTGGGGCAGGCTGCCACACATTTGAATAGACCAAAGTTTGGAACCAGTGTGTGCATCTGACTGAAACCTGCTTTACCAAAAAAAACCCTATACCAAACATTTGTATGGATCCCATCAAGCTTGGTGTTCCACTGAACATGTAGTTGCATAGAGTACGAAAGTGAATATGTCACACGCACAATTATGTGTGTAAAAGGCATTAGCACAAGAACCAGCGTGTGAACCAACACACATGTACTCCATTCATTTGCACAACACTTCCTGGTTCAACATGACGTCACACTTAAATGCTCTATCCTGGAGGAGTTGTTTTGTTGAATGCCCAAATTATCCCTTTATGTTTACTTCCAGAGTTACCAGAGGGTCAAAGTTAGGGTAATGCTTAGTTTGTCTAGTTTGGTGACAGACAAGCTCCAATTCTGGTCTAAAAATACTTCGGATTTTGACTTTCTATCTTAATGCAACATCATGCTTGTATTTTGTGAACTGCTGGACCTTACATTGGGCAATATTTTTGACACCCACGAAAAAAAGTTGCTAATCTTAATCATGTTTAACCACTTCATGCCGGGGCATTTTTCAATGTTGATGATGCTGGTCCGGCATGACTATCATTTTTTCCGTTTTCAAATCCTTCAAAAATTCATCATTTCATTTAATGGTTGTTTATAGCCGCACGAAGTAATCTTTAGGCACTACTCTAAGTTGAAAGATGACCTTCATTGACGCCCAAGTATTTCAGCCAAGCCTGCAGCCTTGTAAACTGAGCCCAGATTGCGTGGTGTTATATAAATTTCTTTTGTTCACGAACCTGGCTCAGTGCACTGCTGACCTCTTTTCGATAGGGGCCAGATTAGCGTGCAGCGGAGCTGTGTGGCTCATCGCTGCGGTGGTGGAGCGCTTTTGTCCCCGGTGGTAATCCGCTCGCTCTCAATGCCCCAAAACCTGGTATATGATTTCAACACAAGGCTGGATTATCCCCAATTTTGAGAGTGAAAAATGTCGGTAATGCCCAGCAGCCTGGTCTTTTGTTCGCAGTACGGTCTTTTGTTACAGGGCACTCTTTCCTTTGTCCGAGTTCGGCGACCCCAGCCACGCATATAAACCATACGTCTCTGATTCCGGAGTCTTTGGCAGGAAGTGGTTAAAACCCCACAAAACCTCTCTGGTTGTAGTCTCAACACCTCCAAACATTTCTCATTTTCTAACAAAACGCTACAAACATTTTCGCATAACAATCTTTGCTAACTGAGACAAATCTTTCACATTTCATTATGAATGTACCATGGAATAGCTTGTCAAACTAATGTTGTGATACCAGACAAAATAAGTTTTTAAAAAGTTGATAGCATTAATGACACAGCACTCAGGATGATAAATTGCGATTGAGAATCCCCAGAAATCACCAAGCAACATGTGTCCATGAAGACGGATTTTAAAAAAGCCTTCTGGATTGTTTTTATTTTAATTCTTTTTAAAGAAGAATGACTACCAGACCTTTCACAGCCTCAAGCTCCACCACTGTTGGCATGTCATCAATACTGTATCACTCATGCTCTAGTGAGGGTGCCATTGCTGGAGATGAATTCCTCTAAAACATGAAGAACGCTCTGTGTGTCCTGTGATGTAACAGTGTTCTCATCCTTCCAGATGTGGCGGAGAAGGACGCCACCGTTTCCACAATCCCTTAGGAATGCAAAGGCTCTGTGTACAAAAAACATTCAACCTGATAACATTACATTTGGGTTAACCTCATTAAGAAACCTGACAATACTTCATAGCATCAGGGAAAAAAATGCATGGATCCTACGACAGCCAATTTTCTTGGTGGGGGAGGGGCTGAGAGACAATGATAATGTTTGGTGATCAATGTTTATATCAAGAGTCTTTACATTTACTCCCTCCACAGGGGGGCGATACAAACATATATGACAGGGCCATATTATTACTAATAGTATGTCCTTCCACTAAATGTCTACACACAGTCATCCAGTCCCAGGTCATTCCCCATCCCCTACTCATTGATCCAGATTTACGCCACTGCAATCCAGGGACCCTGAAGCTGAAAACAGAGACAAAGCTGCAATTTGACAGAGTCCTCAATAACCCTGAATTCTTTTGGAATTGCGCTCTGGCCAAAGTTCTTGATTGATTTGGTCAAAATTCAGAACAGTTGACCCGCATTTATACAGCATGTTGCACCAGTTTTGTAGCAAAACACAGAATATGCCATTGGTTTACTGCGCCATTTTTGATTCTTGCTAATATTGGGAGATTCCCAGCCAAAAAAAAGTGTTTGGGGTTTGATTAATACAGTGACTTGTTATACATCCTGTTTGAATAATGCATTTTCATTGGCCTAGAACAATCACTTGACCAGTGACAAAAATGAATATTACCATCATATTTCTAAATATTACATCATGAAATCATAAGACTGGTCCCCACACCACAGTCTAAATGATAAAGCAGGAAGCGCTAACCAGGGTACTGGTAATAACTGGTACCTGTGATTTTACCCACATACAGTTCATAATAGTAAACTCTAATTGGAGCAGTGAACTGGTACATAAAATCAGCAGTTGCAGTGTTGCAGATTTTTGTCAACAGCTGAAATTCATTTGAAGTTCATTTGTGTGTATAAGTTCCTTAGTAAAGCAAGCTCTACACAGAGTGCTTCAGGGTCCCTTGGGTGTTGCAGCATCATATCCCACATCACAGTAATCACTGATTGTTAAATGTTCTGTCCTTGGAACCTGGCTGGAAACCTTGCTCGAAGCCCAACTGAATGCAATTGCATACGATGTGAAAGCGAGAAGCCTGCAAAGCATAACAAAATCCAACAGATCAATTATCCCTAAGACCCAACAGACTGGGAGTTAGAAGTTGCCAGTCACCACAGGATGGCACTGTTCAACGGTAAGTTCCCATTGTGTCAACATTTGCCATTCACTCTGCTGCTGTTGATTGTCCAGTACAACAAGGTCCCAGAGACCAAGTCATCACCTTTTCTTTTCTGCTGTGTTTCATGGGATCAGGTCTTAAGCTCCAGTACGACTCACCTGTAGAGGGCATAGTGGTCAGATTCTGCCTGCCTCACAAGGCGCTTGAGGGTGTTCAAGTCTTGGATAGTGCGTAGCTTAAAGTCCTCAATGATCTGTCTAAGACTGGCTGGATTCTCCCTGCTGCTGGCAAGCAGAAGCCGTGACCACTCTTCACAAAATGGACTGCTCTCTGTAAAAACCACCAAAGCACCAGTTCTGACTGAATAAAGTTTCCTGCACTTCACAAAGCTATAACAAAAATATTTGGTTCAGGTCTGCCAGTTATCAAATGAATGCTTAGGGACTAGGACTGTCTCATGATGAGCAGAACTAGTTGGAGAAATTTCAGCACTAAAGGAGACTCATTCTTCAGCCAAGGAACAGCCGTACACGCAATGCATGAAGTCATTGTTGTTTTTTCATATTGCTACATCCACCCACCTAATGCATGCAATGGAGCCAGCAGGGAGCCAGCCATGGACATGTTCCAACAAACACTGCAGGCAAGTACTACATGACAGTGGTTTAGTTTTCAGAGCTGCAGAACCATATCCTTTCTATATGGTTTGTCTAAGTACTTTTTGAGCCCATGGGTCAAAACTCCACAGCAGCAGTGATGTAGAACGTGTACACTGCAGGTGTAATGTATGTTAAGCGCATACCTGCCAACTCGCCACGGAATAGTGTTTTTTTTTTCAGAAGTCACTGCAGCTAGTGTATTGAGTCATGGCAGTAATAGCCAGTTGTGGCTGCTGTTGAGGTCAAGACCTGGAAATATCTTTATTTTGCATTTTTTACACACACAATTTTAATGGAACTACAAATTTTAGAAGATTCACCACAGGAAAATATTCCAGAATTTAACTAACAAGACTGCAATATTTAACATGAGAAAAGGGAATGATTTGCAACACGGAAAGGACATAGATTATGAGATTGGTATTTGCACAGCCAAATTTCATGGCATGATGTATTGAAGTCCTATCTGTCCTCTCAATTTTGGGGAGGGATTAGAAAGTGAATACCCATCAACTTTTCCACTTTAATTATAAGAATTCCAGTTACTCTTTCATAAATGAGTTCACAGTATCCCTCATCACACAAATTTTTACCAGCATTCTGGAATTGCTGTGTTTCCCCATCAAACACCAGCTGCACAGGACGCAATGAGTTGTTCACTGATCTTCCCTCGATTTGATATGACACACCAGCTCTTGAGTCCAAATCAATGAGCGTTGGCTCTGATGAATTGGTGCCTTGTGAGTTAGAATCACTGTCACTCATGTGTTGAAGGAGGTCTGATAAACTACACACTTGCACAAATCTAAGCAAACCAAGACAAGTGGGTTGAACAGGTAATCAACTTAAGTTTGTTCAGAGGCAGGAGCTGGAAACATACCCAACATTATTTTCTTAGTGACGAAGACTTCCTACCCTATTGGTCTCAGTGTTAAACTTGACATCAGTGAAGGCCACAAAAGTTTTAAATGAGGAGTTCCAAAGCAAATACAAAATAAGAACGGATGTGCCTCACAACATGTTAGAAATGAAATCCCAATCAGAAACAGTCAGGCATTTGGCCGTAAATGAGGATATAAACACAAGTTCCTGCAGTGAATGGTCCAATGTCTCCAAAAGTAATATGTGTGCTTACTTCATAACATCAGATACCACCTCCTCATCTCCACCAATGAAATTGATTTTGTCATCGAGTAATGCCTGGAAAGAAATGAAAAATACAAACAGGAAGTTTCCTTTATACCATCTTCATAAACCTGCCCAGCAAGAAAAGGCACGTCGGCCATCAGCTTTATACTGATGTCAATTTGCTGCATTGGCAGCTGCCAGTAGGACACTACCAGCCCACTTAAAGCCTTCGACCTCAATTTGCACGTTGACCCTGATTGCTTAAAGCTCATTTTCATTATGCAATTTTTCATGCTCAACTCAAGGGTTTTTCTGTTTTCATCCTTTTGTGGAAAATGACATCAATAATCAACAACACAATAAATGAAAAGACTTGCCACATAGTTAAAAAGATTTATTAAACAGATCAACCATAATTACAATCTATAGAAAAGCAATGCACATGTATGTGAGGACGTGGAGGACTGAAGGTTGACCACTGGTTCTCTGCTGGAAGCCCAATGGTCAGCTGTTACTTTGCTAGTAGTGGTCTATCAGCCAAAAATGCCAATGAGTGGACCGCCGAACCTTGCTAGCTGGTTGACTACAATGACAAGTGTATGCTGTGTACTCTCCGCATCAAAAGTCAATCACGAGCTAATACCGAAGTCCAGCCACATGTAATACACGACAATGTCATTAACAAATGCCTTTTTTAAGGTTCATCCAAATTGCTTGAGACCAGATGACTTGTGAGGAATTGTCAGGTTTCATCAGGACTTGCCATAAACAACAACATGGATAATAAGATCTTACTGTGTGTATAAGTAAGGAGAGATCCTCTTGGAATCTGTCTGTACATCGGCATGCATATGCTGCAGCTTGATGGTACCATCTCGCAAGGTAGCTCTGAATTTGTGTTAACTCCTTGGCCTTCCCATGAGAGAAAAAATACTGGAGTTTCATTCAACAACCTACTGAACCCAACAAAATCCAACAGCATATAGTGAGAGGTTAATGGACAGTAACTATTAAATTAAACAAATTGTTCATTCACTGAAAGAAACAGAAAGTTTTGACAATAAAGTATGAGGATATACATGTATACTCCAGCAGCAAACTGTACAGTCACTGAATGAAATAGAAGTCAGCAACAGCTTTAATTTTCACAGCATTGCAACAGAATTGAACGCAAGTAAAACACACAGTTACTGAATTCAAGAAAATTTAACAGCAACGTGTACTCACTGATTTCCACAACTTAAAGGTACTGTGAATGACAATTCAAAATGAGGAAAATGTCTTGCATCAGCTGAAGTTAAAAGGATGCCTCTCCATGAAACTGGTTTTGCGAGGTAAATCCTATAAAAATTCCCTCTTTAACATTATTTAGAGCCTGTACTACTTCAACATTATGTTTTAGCATTTTGATAAATTTACTTTTTTCCTCATGAAATTGTTCTTGTACATTTTTATCTATTAACTGCTCTCATTTTTTAATTTTTCGATAGTAATTTCACACTTCACTTTGAGTAAAAAATGGAACAAATACCCATTTTTTATTTTGTTTGTTCTCCTTATTTTCAATTTTTGTTATTTACATGTATTATCATTCTATTTTATATTTTATTTCACATATTGTCTTTGCTATTGGTATTTATAAATTAGCTTTATAATGAGCTTCTCAGAACTTCTCTGACGATTTGCTATCACTTTTTTTCTGATGATTTTTTTAAATTTTCAATTGCCATTGACATTTAATTTTTATCACAAATATCCACTGTTTGGTAATGATCTGTGAACAGAGGACATTCATTTACCTGGAAGAAACTTACCGATCAATATTTCTTGTGTGGAATTCCATTGTTATATATTTTCAAATGAAATAATACCATCAAGTAGTAGGGGATCAATTTGATACATCCATGTATAAAATGTCAAGATAAGTGACCATCATCTGAGTGATCAATAGCATGTTCCCCAATCCCTACAATCAAAGGAATAGCATAAAGTTACTATTTTAGTCTAGGCTTTCTTAGTTGTGACCCTATCATACATGCATGATTGTCATTTGGACAGATATATGGTGCCTCGTGGAGACCCAGGAGAATGGGTTGAATAGGTCTCCACAAGGAATTTCTAAACTGATATTTGGAAATAGCTCAAAAAGGAGACATTTTTAATGCACTAAACTGTGTTGCAAATTGAAGTGTTTTATATAAGGAGCATTTGGTCGAAACTTCAGCCCAGGAGAGTGGTTCAAGTTCAAATGGGAGCATTTTGAAAACATGAGTGTGTCATCAGTACATGAACAAAGCCATGTCTCAACAGAGATTAATTCCAGTATATGTGGGTTGAAGGGCAATAAAGGAAATGTGTGTAATCCTTCAGGGCTGACTGCATGTTTCTTTTACAAAACTGTGCATGTTGATGAAATAAACAAAGGTTGTGCACCCAGGCAAAGGATTAACAATAAGACATATAATAGCTCGAAGGATAAGAGCAAAATTAAGGCCAGTGGTAAAGTTTGCACAGAAAGCCAGCATTGGACAACAGATTTAATTCATGTAATAGCTCAAAGTATAAGGACAAATGGATTTTCTGTTCTCAGTGTTGTATTCCAGTCCATGACAAGTCAATAACAAGTCATTCAGTCTGGAACCAATTCACAAGCTATTCAAATGAGCTGTGGCAAGTTCACCCTCATGCCTAAGATCTTAGACTGGCTTTGTGAAGGGACTTGTGATGGACTGGAATACAACACTGCTGTTCCCATGTTTTCAGGATAGCAGCTATAGGGAGGAAGTGCATGTAGTTCAAGTCAGAGAATAGACTTACAACTGTACATTCATGCATGAATGGGCTTGGCTTCACCTCATCCAGGTTTGTACAAATCTACAGTCTTTGGTCCATTCTCTTTGACAATTTTATAGCTCATTGTCAGCTTTCTGCAAATTTGATTGATTGCTCAAGAGTTCAAGAACTACATGAAGTGAAGTTTTCAAATAAACTGCGTTTGTTCTCCAAATATGCCGTCAGCTTTAATCTTACCTCTGAATCTAATACAGCAAGAAGGCCTTCGCTGTAGGCATCTAGCTCAGGTCTAAACGTGTTCTCAATCAAGGAAATTTCACTTGTACATGTACCCTTATTTGGTTTGTTTCCATGCTTACCACATCAAGGGTGTACTGGACAGAAAACATGACTAACAAATTTTGTAGTTATACCATCATGAAATGACTAGAGGTGGCACTATGTCACAAGTACATACATATGTACATGTTTGTGCACAGCTTTAAACCAACAACTGCATGAACTAATTTCTAATGGAAAGTCCCTGACTCATGATAGCAATGCCATTCTAGTGCCTGTCATACTGAGTCTACCCTATGTGTCATTCTGGGGCATTAACCAAACAGGAAGACAGACATGAGTTGCTGTTGGGCACAAGATGATTCCACATGAGCTAGCAAATAGCACATACCAAATGCATAAATCACCACATCAGCTGTTACAGCTGGCATCCAGTCAGTGAGCCAATACACCCTGACATGCAAACAAGACAGGCTGTTGGATGTTCACTTCAATGCGTACCTCCCACTCACATAAAGACCATGTAGTCCCATAAGAACTGGTTGGCCATGTACATGTATGTAAGCCCAACTATATGCATGCAAACCTGCACATGCATATAGTGTATTCCACCATGGGGTTTTGTTGTTTTGCAAAAACAAGCCATCACTTATTTGGAGCAAATATTATGGTGTGATTGAAGTGTACTTTAGCTTTACAATGACAGTGAAAGATAGATCTATCAAGCATTTAGACACCCAGAATTAGTATTACCATACTGTAGCTTGACCGTATTTCAAAGAGCTACAAAGCAGAGAGTATTTAGCAAATTACTCACCTTAAGCCTATCTATTATCTACTGAGAACCAGTCACAAGAAACATGCAAGATATGGTGTATTTTTTGTTATTTTGTTTGGTAACTTGTCTTCAGTAAGCAATTTGTTTTCTTCTTCTTAGTGTACTTATGGCAGATCTCTGAAACTGGAGCATGATATATGTACGTGTATAAAGGTATAGATCTGTCTACACTAAAGTAGACCATTGTGTGATTCTGGGCACACTCTGAAATACAAGGTCGGAGGTTTTTCTCTGAAAGATTTATATACATATAGAATAGCTGTTGAAATAATCATGTTTCACTTTTGTCATGCTACGGACAGATACTATGACAAGCATTATTGCTGAACTAATTCTTCATAGAAGTCCTGTTCACAGTAACTCCAACAAATAGCGAAACTTTGAGTTTGGGCATACATGTGTATTTCTCATACAGTGTATGTAATATTTTAGTCCACATATTTAAACATGCAAATTTTTCCCCATGATTCTGTCAAAAGGTCTCCCCAAAATAAGCTGAACATTCTAAAGACAAAATCCTTTATCACTAAGAAAACTATATCACTACAGTTGTACAGATTTAAAGTTCATTTCTTGAACTAGTCTCAACAACATTTAAGGGAGAACTGCGTTTGTTAAGACTTGGAACTTTGCAGCCATGGTAGTGTATGATTTAGGGAAAGTTTGCGATAGCAGCATGTGACCATAACTTTTTGGAGGATGTACGCTTCTGAAAAAATAGTAACAAATAAACATGACAGTATAAAGGTCAAACCTCAACAACAAATTAGTAGAACACGTAAAGGATATAGCTCTAGAGCAGCACTAGTCCCAATTAGAAAGCAGATTACATATTCAATGGATGTGTAGAATACACTAGGTGGTTCATCAGGGTCCAAGTCAGTATCTGGAATGGTCTGCTGCCTCAGGAGGTAGTAGTAACAGGAGAGAACTTCATTACTGTCAAACAGAGACATTACATGTACATGTAGGTTCTGCTCTTCACTGATGTCATTTTAATTGTTAGTATTGTATATTCAGTACCTGTGCAAACAAAATCATCCGTCATGAGATTTATTTCTTGCTGCTGAAATGTACAGTAGAGTAAGACACTTGAAACGCAATTTTTGTTGTACCACAGCAGTCCACAACTAAGAAGTAAGAAATGCAGTCTTACCCAACATCAACGTTGTTGACATTCCCACTGCCTCCATACACTGTTCCTCGTGATAATCTCTTAAAGATAAACTCTCGTAGTTCAGTTTCCTGTTCAGCCACTAGGTCAGTAGCAATGACGGACAAACTGTAGCAGATATGTATTAACAAAGGGGAACGTTATCATAGAAGTTCCACTTTGAGAAATATTTCCAAATTTCACCACAGGCCCACTCCTTAAATATACCCACATCAATGAAAAAAATGAAATAACTTCTGATACATTTTAAACACAAACCTGTCACTAATAGTCAACCACATATACATGTATGTGCATTTACAAGGTACTTGTACACTGTGATTATTCAAATCATCTGTTCCAGTTGACATGGTAGAATCCTCACATTGTTAATGCATGAACAAAAATTGTTTACATTCACAATACAGCTTGGTTTCCATATTGAAGTAAGGAACACAGAGAGCAATGCAATCAAGACGTTAACTGCAACGCCGACATATGGAAACATGACAAACGGAGGTGTTGCTGACAATGCAGACAAATTCAAACCAGCCCGTGAACGATCAGCAAAGTTGAGCCAGGATCAACTTGCCGACTGTCTGAGTCGAGTAGCCGTGGTATCTCCATACAAACATGCATACTGGCATGACTGGCATGCAACCATGTCTCTCTCCCTTAGTTCCACGAATTTTGCCCATTTTTCTTCTTATTGCTTAAATATTACTCCCCAGTGATCAACTGAATAGCTGACCATCAATGTCATGCATGAAACCGGAGTACAGGTTTGGCATCATGAGGCAGTGCAGTCCATCTAAAAGCACATTTTTCACAGACTTTCGGATGCCATTTTGTTTCAATTTTTGGGTGGAATGGCATCATGCACTGCCTCTTCCGTTCATGTCTGCGTCTTCACGTCTTGCGGACCATCTGCATTACAAACGACCATATGGAAACCAGGCTTAACTCAACCTTGCTATTTTGTATAAACAGGAATAGACCGTAAGGACTGCTGTCTCTTTCTCAGCTGAAGAACTTGTTACCTAAAATCTCGATTTGAAGTTGCTTCCCGCTGAAGAAAATTTGCAACTGTGGAATCGTTCTTGTCAACATCTGGACCAAGGTCTTGAATACTGGGCCTGTGTAATGGATGAGTCAATTCTCAGAGTTACCTTAAACATACATGTATGTTGAGACAGTACACATACACACCAATGGAGAATGTTACCCTTCAAACCATGGGGTTCATCCACAAATCCCATCAAATTAAACCCAGAGGTACCCATATCTCTGGCCATGCCCTTGCTGTATGGTTTGGCACAGCTACCCCTAGAACCATGCTATGGGGCTCAACCATTCCACTTCTCCTAGCTTGAGATGGCAGAATTACATGTGGGACACCTCTGCCCATTTCAAGGTATAGTCCTTGTGCAAGTTGTCAAGAAGAATTTCCACATATGGACTTGGTGTGTGCGTGCCACGTTGCACGCAGACTCTTGACTAATAGGAAAAGATTAAACTGTCTTGTATCCAGGTGCCAGAGAGCTTTTTATGCAGCAGGCATTATCAAATTTTTGCGTGCATTATCAATTGTTAATACACAGTCACGTTACGCGTTGTTGAAAAGGGAAACTGTCTAAGGTATTTACAAATAAAAATAAATATACAATATTGTAATGATGTAATTTTCATTAAATGAAACATTAACAGATGTTGGTAAATGGGGAATAAATCGAGGATTACACTGTGGGGATGATGATTGTGGCAAGAGCGATACTTCATACATGAAGGTCAGCAGCACAGTTGCAGAGGCAGTGTGCCATGCGTGTGCAGCAATTAGCGATCACACCCAAGTTGTGCTGTTGATCGGCCTTTCAGTTTTAACTGGTAACCACACTGCACATTACAGGCAAGACTGAATTTTGTAATCGGCAGTGACAAGTTATATTTTAGAGCAGCAGACAGATAGCTAGACTTTGTCGACTTTTAAAGAAATCGCCAGGTGATTTGGCCTAATTCCATACAGATTTTGTGGGAGAAAGGAACTTGTTTGATGCTATTTTATTTGTCTCACACCAAGCAGCTGGAACTTCTATGTAGTATTCAGAGTCCCCTGTAATTATTAGTGTCTTCCGATATTTTGTCAACATTTCTCACATCTTTGTAAATGGTCTTAAAATTCACAGGCATGTTTTGGGGGTCGAAGTTTATGGTCATGCTGGAGCTCTGTCGGGCACCCCTGAAAATGTGCCCTTTAAAAAAGTCCCAAAATCTGAAAGATGATGTGGATTTTTCATTTCGAAGTTAAGGCCTAAGAGATCATGGTTAATCGCCTTCACTGACTCTCATATCCCAACAGTTTTGTTAACAAAAAAAATACTTATTTCTGCCAGCGCGTTTTGAAAAGTTCTTCGGCCCTCAAAAATGCTTTTAGTTTAATTTTGGCAATTGGGCAAACTCAACAAATATTTATATTTGTTGAGTTTGCCCAATTGCCAAAATTAAGTCTTTAAATCGCTAGCGACAGAAATTTGCAAATACTTCCCTGCAGTAGAGCCTACAGGCACATGCAGGTACATCATATACGCCTACTATCACCAACCCATGCTACAGCCTCGCCCACAATGCTGTGTATGCTTGGGACTGAGAATCACATTGCGCATGCTTCAAGTGCGTGTATGCAACTCAGATTCTTGTATGCAGGAGAGTTGCATGCATACACTGTATGAACTGAAGAACAGCTGAATACAGTCTACAATATTGACAAAAATTAATGTTATTTCTGAGTTTATTTTGTTGTTTTTGTTTTTGTGGTGATGAGTCGAATTTCTCAACCCGACGGCTGGTTAGACAAGGATCTTGTACATGTGTAGGATTTGCAGATGTGAACTGGCTTCTTTATAAGGTGTTGAAAATATTAATCTAAAAATTTGTCACCCTTTTTCAGCCCCTTCATATCCTTGACTCCCTCCGTAACGTAGCCTAGTACAGTCAGTTAAGTCCAACTGGGCTAATGACTTGGAGTTCTGCAAGTACTCGAAGCAGCCTACTAGAAACCCAACTCCCACCAACCCCACTGGGTGGTGTAAAGTTAGTTACTTATTCCTTATTTGACATTCAATGTTTAACAAGTACCTGTTTGATATTCACCATTTAATAAGGAACCATTTCATATTCGGCAATTGCTCAGGCTGCACATCCCTAGAAATGATGGAGTGGAAAAGTGGCAAAAACAAACTGTAGATCCCCTGCGTATGACGTCATGTTAAAGTACTCCCAGAACTGTGGGGTCCAACGTCTGCTTTTGCATAGGCTTTACATGAAGTTTAACAGGGCATGGACAGGGATTTTATGGTTGTTGTGTACCCATAGAAATGCTGCACTGCATTCCCCCGAGAGTTCTTTGTAAGGTAGCTTACACAAATTTGTACTTTGTACCAAAAAAAGGGCCAAAAGCATGCTGATTTTAAAAAATAAGTGCAAATATTTCCTGATCAGCATCCAACAGTCATGCGGTTCACATGTGTACTTGTGAAGACAAGTCATGACCAAATAGTCTACTACGGCTGCAAGTGATATGCAAGATATGGTAACCGGCTACAGCTGCTGTCCGTACGTGTGTGTGTAATTCTTAGCCGCGACTGGACTGAATTGTTGACATGGCAATGGCTGCAGCACGCTGAGGGTCACATTGACCAATCACAGCGCTCCTCATTTATGCCAAATGGCAAGAATGACAAGCAACAGCCATTGGGTCTGAGTGCACATGAGCGCACCATTGCATTGTGAACAATGTCTGTGAAGCAAGTGCCATCTCACACATGGCTTGCGGCGATCTTCAGCGCAACGCACATGACTCGGATGCTGATTAGGAAATATTTGCACCTTTTATTGAAACTTGGCACGGGTTTGGCCCATTTTTTTCTTGGTATAAAGTACGAAGGTATGTGAGCTACCTTACATAGAACTCTTGGGGGAATGGAGCAGCATTTCTATGGGTACACAACAATAGAATCCCTGTTCATGCTCTGTTAACCGACATGTAGCCTGCGACAAAATAGGCTTGTTTTTTGGGGGATTCCTCAGTTCGTGGGAGTGGGGCACCCCTGCGCCCCTGATGTCAGACCACACAGTTCTGGAGGCAGGCCCTAACGTTAAAAGGACATTTCTTTCTTCCTCTAGGATAGGCAAAACTAGGATAGTAAACCTTTTGTGTACTCATTGTAATTAAATTAAAATTACAAAGAACAGCCTCTGACCCCGCCTTCACGCAAGGGGTCTTCAATACGTAGCGTTACATGGTATACTTTGGTGTCGGAAATACACATCCGATAACATGGCATGCCTGCAGCAAAGCGAACCAATGGCGAGATCAACCACCGCGAACATCGCAGTTCCCAAACATGGACACGATGTATATGAACTTATTCCATAAAACTCACCGATTGGCGTGGTAAGTGTATAGAGCAAAATAATTTATGGGTTGAACATTATGTTCATCATCGAAACACACATCAGCCTTCCCTTCGCTGTCACCTGCCAACTCCACGTCTGAGGCGGCTGCCATTTTGTTAAGTTGTGACGTATGAGTTCTTTAAACATTTGACCAATCAGCAGATATCATCAGATTTTGGATACGGCCGGGCTGGGTACGGGTATCCATGTACTTTGTGACAAGGCGCCATTTTTAAAAGGACTTTGCAGACAAATAAGTACTTGAAGATAGTTGAAGTACGCCGTACTCGCCAAACTAGCTGCGTGCATTACGCTTGGGAGTGGCGTTTCTGATAAATTTCTAGGGTGTGCTCCAAGTGGATTTGAACTTAGAACACTCGAACAAAACTTTCTAGTCTGTGCATAATTCTGCATTGAAAGAAGAGGAGTAGGCCACTAGCACCATAAAAAATGGCCTGGACTGGTGGTTTTGTTAACGAATTCGGGACGCAAGAAATGTGGCCAGACGGAACCCGAATCCAGAGCCATCCGCTCAGTGCTACGTATGATGTGAACATTGCGCTTACACAGTTGAAAAATATCTCACCTCATGCTGCAAATACCGTAAGAAACTATTTATAATTACATATCTTTTACTCAGAAGCAACATTAAGTCGCATGCTGTCTTCAGTGCCCAGCCACTCACCTAACACGCCTAACCTTTGTCTATATAACAAAGGCCTAGGCCTACATGTAGGCTTACAGATGTAACTGTACTCTAGATGTAACATGTCTGGCTTAGTACCTACTGCAAGTACTTGGACTCTACATAGGCCTATTGCCTCTTTTATTTTAACATTTGTACATGGTCTACTAAGTACCACCTGACTGTTGCCTACCATAAAAGATGATAAAAAGACGATTTTTAGCAACTGGACACAATAAATGAAATCTAAAAAATGGTTAGGCCTAGGCCTACAATTGAAATGATGAAAACAATTCTCAAGTCTGTCAGTTTGTTAATACAGGCAAAGACTGGAATTGATTTAGACCTGTAATGTCCTTTATTCTCGCATTGATTGCACATTCCATTTATTGCACTCACATCATGGCAAAGGGGCAACTCTCCATTCACGTGTACAGGGATTATTTTCCTTCTTTTTTGTTGTAACAGGAGAACAATAACTGAAACCTTTTCAGTACAGTGTTGGCATGGTGGGAGATGGTCATAGCGCATAGGCCTAACTAGAGAAATGTCAGGCATATTTGATGTAAAGATTGAGAGCTTAGACAATAATTCTGATCTTCCCGATAGACAGCTACACTATTTTTGCCAGCAATTGACCGATCGGAGAGAAAAATCAAAACTCAGTTATGTCATCCCAACATCGAGAATGTAGAGTCTCTCCTTATTTTAATGTAGGTCTAGTTCCACAGAATTGTTTGATTTTGTCCTTTTCTTGTTTTTCTGTTTGGTATTTGTCATCAAGATTATCACTGGAGTTGTAATTGCAAAACAGCAGCCAAGATCAGTTCCAAGCAAAACAGGTATCTTACATAGAATCAACTAATTTAATGAATATGAAATTTGAATGCCAGATCTGCCACCTCACTCAGTTGAAGTCAGAATTCCAGGATTATGTGTATTATAAGGTCCAATAGCAGTTCTCAAATCACTTTTAATTTTAAGTGCCTAATTAACTTTCTCTAATGTCCTATGAAAGCAATGTCAAGAAATGTGGTGACATGCATGCACATAGTCATATTTTAAATATTGTATCCATTAAAGACCCAACCACTGACCGAGGTTTATTGAGCTTCACTTTGAGGGATTCCCCCACTGATTTCATCAATGGTACATGCTGGGGCTCTGAGTCATACATATGTGAATTAGCTACTAAATTCAAGATTGGAGATATAGGTAAGTGCAAACCTTAGTAACACACACAATACAAAATAAAACGAAAACACAACCCCAAAAGCTGACGAAAAACAAATTCGTTGCTTGAGATATAAATTCTATTCAGCAGCGAACTTTCGGGAAATAAGGTAGCCTTTATAGTCAGACTCTTTTCTGACTTATTTTCTTTTAAGTGACTTTTGTAGTAAATTTTCCCTCCCTAGCAAGACTAAACTTAAGTGTTTTCCATAATTTAACTCAAAAAGATACTATAATTTGATCCATCCATGTAGTTGAGATCCGAAATCCTCAGATCCAGAGCAAACAGAACACTGAGCAAGAAGAGAGGTACCGCCCCTGGACTCCAAGGTGACATTGTTGTACTTCTACAATATTATAGTTTTCAAAACAGTGTACTGACATACACTGATGGTGATTCATGTGTGTAAATCATTGCTGTGTCTACCTGTTTGTGTCTCATAAGGGAAAAAAAATCTTCCACTGAAAAAAAGTAGTGCAGATTGTCATGCAACCTTATTTTGCTCATTCATTTTGTGTGTACCAAAACTCAGCCAGTACCAACTAACTCTGAGTGAGAAGTATTCTACATTGAGTCTGTATGGAGGATGGAATGTGGATGTTTACAGCACTCTTCAGCACATCCCAATACGAGAGAGTGATAATTATTACACACTGGCTGATGTGATTGCAAATGGGCAGGGCTTACATGGCGACCATATCAATGTCCTGGTACTGCTTAAAACTGTAAGTGTATTATCATTGTTGGCAGACTGGTATTCAAATCACCAAACATCAAATCCAAGTCTGAGTTACCTCTCCCAAGTCTGAATCTAAGTCCTAATACAGGTTGAGTTCAAGTAATGAGTCACAATGGTCAAGTCCAAGTCAGAAGTCTGACCTTCAAGTACTGTATTGGAAATACATTTTCGGGTATTGTATGTGAAAGCCTAACAGTGTAAATGTTCAGATTTTTTCCACAGCTTTTTGCTCATTCAGTGAAATAGAAATACTTGTATGTGTGTCAAATAAACTATTAAAGTTATTCGATCTACTATTTTACTGTAAATCCAAAGCAGTCCTGTGTTAAAATGTGAGGTGTTTCAACACAAGTAAGTGTGTGCATATACTTGTACACTAATTGACAAGTTACTATCATACCTGAAAGTTTTTTGTAAATAGCTCTTAAAAAGAACCAAGCATGTCCTAAATTAAACTGTTCAGTGATTGGATTTTTGGATCAAGGAAGAAGTGTTACAACAAAATGTAAATGTCACACACTTAATGTATTGCTTTCATAATAAGTTGTAATTCAGCTGTTAAAAAGAGTTCTTTATGGCAATTTTTTGTCCAGTCACAAGACATATAGGTTGAGTCTATGTCCAAGTTGGCAAACCTCAGTCTGAGTCATCTGTCATCCTGACTCAAATCCCAATCATGAAAAATGGGATTTGAGTCAAACTCAAGTCTGAGTCCAAGTCACGAGTCATACAAGACTGATTTATTAGTGTTCATTACATCTTGGTCCAAAGCATGTTTCATCTTATCATTGCTGTTGAATTCCCCTCATGTTTCCATCCACTATAGTCTCCATATATGATTCTCTAAGAACTTTCTGACATTAAACCTGTACTCATTATTTTCAATTTTCTTGCCTTCTTTTTTTCCCCACAAAGCATCATTGTCCTTCGATTGTGTTTATCAATCAGACAACTATTACTGTCATCACCACTAACATCATTGTCACAACCGTCACCTATTATCATCAGCTTAATCATCCTCAGCACTTGTATAATAATTATCAACAACAATAACTGACTACCAGCAATACAAGATTTGACAAAGTACCTCATGTAAAATGTTAATATATCATATTTATTGGAATTTTTAACTGATGTAGTTATATTTCTTTATCAGATTGGGACCCCAAAAGACATTGTCACAAAGACTGGCAAAAAGATAAAACGGTGTGAAGTCAAAATGTATGATGAGACGTGTCACGCATTTCCACTCGTTATGTAAGTCAGCTTTATTACACTTTGTGCTCAAACATCTTGTTTTTCATTTGTGAGGTTAAATTTGTGAAAATAAAACAGATGCTCAAAACAGACAATAAAATGTGAGTCATGTAGTTTGGTTTATCTTTTTTATGATAGCTGTTCAATGGAAATTCTCTGAAGTTGAAGTACAGAAGTTGAAGTACATGTATATAAGTATACATATAATATGTATACATGTATTAAGTATTAAAAATCGCCCTGAAAAAAAATATTTGTCACTTTCCAGTTGAATTTAATACACTGCTTTGTGATGTCGTTTTTCCACGTATTTTCATGTGTATTATTTCACAGATGGGATACAGAGAATATTGACTTAGTACAGCGGTGGAAGCCACATGAAACAGGTGATCATGACTTTAACCTTGTTCACAAACTTAATACAAGGTTGTTCAATTACATTATGGAAAATAAGAAGATTTTTGTGGCTAAAAATTCACGTTGCTTTTTTTGGTACACATATCTTTTTCACGACTAATTTGATCCAAAAGTTGATTATTACTTTTCTCTGTAGTTGTGTTTGCCACGGACATCATGGTAAAATTTGACAACTTCAGGTCCTGCATGACAGGCACGGTTGGTTCCAAGACAATATTTATAACCAACCCAGGTAAAAGCTCTTCATTATTGCCTTTTTATAAAAAACCAGCTATTTGTAATTTAAAACTTGGAAAAGTGTTGGTTTGTACTGAATACCTTACATAGACTACTAAATTCAGCCAGTTGACTTTATCTAAGATTTATGTTACTTTTTTTTTCTCATAGACACCTATGAGGCTCATTCGTTGTTTAAGTTTGGCCAGTCACGTGATACAAATGACGACCAAACAGATGAGGACTCAGGCAGACTGGAGACTGACTGTAAGCACAGCAACAATATCATTCACATTATAACATAATCATTCTTGATGTCAAGGTGGAGGTTGGATGGCACTATTTGTGGTGTCAACAAAGCCAAAAAATGCATGTACAGGCAATTAAAAGAGCAGAAATAGTGGATGCACAGGAACCTCTTCATAATCGAAAGTGATATGTTTCCTTTCTACATAGTGTCCAGCATCAAAGAGGTTTACAAAGTGGACCAGATCAAGTACTTGGCTGTGGAAAGGCCAGATGGGTCTAATGGTGCTGATTATGGCATCACTTATGCCTTTCTAGCTGCATTTGACATTGACAGCACTTCACAAAACTGTATCTCCATGAGATGGTAAGGTTTTGTTTTTTTTTCGCTCTGATAGTAAAAATGGAATTTTCAAGTTCAACCCAAGAGAACAGAGTTTAAAATGCAGCACTTCTCTCAGTTTTCCACATTTTGCATCAAATTATCCCCTGCATTGTTTTGACAGAGGTGGCAGCAAGTCATATTTTGCAAGTCCAAATCAAGTCACAAGTCTAATATTAGGTCCAGTAACAAGTCAAGTCACAAGTCATTTGGTCACAGAGCAAGTCAAGTCACAAGTCTCTTTGTCCAAGTACAAGTCAAGCTGCACATTATTTTGTCCAGCTGTAACAAGCAAAACGAACCAGGCATTAACTTACAAAGTTACCAGTTCCAAGTTATAAAAATATATGGGCTGGTCAAGTAGCGTCTGACTTGGGTTGGTAACAAGTCATTTTTTGCAAGTCCAAGTCAAGTCACAAGTCCTTTTTTGTGCAAGTCCAAGTCAAGTCACAAGTCAAAGCTGGTATTTACAAGTCAAGTCACAAGTCACAAAAATAGTGACCTCGGTCCGACTCGGGTCCAAATCGCATGACTTGAGTCAGCATCTCTGTGTTTTGATGCACAGTTCCAGCTGCAAGCGGCGTGTGGAATCAACCAATTTCAGCTGTATTAATCCAAACTGCCTGTCTTCTGTCTCTGGCCAACCAGAGACCACAATGACCTTTGACATCTTGACTGACTTCTCCGATGCCACAGGCACACTAAAGGGATGCTATCTAGGAGGAACTTATGCAGAAGAAATGCTGCAATGCACGGTGAACCAAAGCAATGACTAATCTAACATGTCACAAAAAGTAGATGATAGATGTTAAATCAAAGATTAAATCATGATACTTTTCTGTATCAGTAAATACAAGCAACATAACGGGATTTTTTAAACCTCTCCAGTACTGTCTCAATTACAAAGCAAAAATCTAGAACAAGCATTTCATATCCTCGTTATTCAGCAATGGTTCACATTTTACAAATTTCTTAAATATATATGTATACTGGTACAGTTGACTCTTCATACAAAGAGCAAATACTAGAGAACCTGGTCTCTTTGATATGTGTTTCTTTGTTTTTTACGGGCATTAACAAATTTCTAGTTTTAAACGTTCCAGCAACCTTGTACATGATGAGTTGAAGTTTCAATAAGTTTAATTGTTCCACTTGTTCTTTAAATTGGGAGGAACTTCACAACAAAAAATTGGATAAAAAAGTGGATACCCCAGTCTACTCCTTCATTCACAAATGCAGAACCTAGCCTCATCTATTCCATAAATGGTCATTGCTCACTTCAGTGTCCTTACTTGACCTATTACCTCTATCCTCTACCCTAGGCTGGTGAGTTTCTGCACTACACAGAGCAACAGAAGACTGATCTCAAGTGGAGGTTTCTACTGGAGAGATGCAAAGTTTATTTCAAGGTAAGGGGCCATCCATAAAGTGTGCATGAATGAGAGGAGGGGGCTTGGTGCCATTGCGTACACCATGCACACAGAGGGGAGGGTTTAAGCCACAGCATACAGTATGCAAACTGAAAATATGCTTGTAATGATTTTTCATCATATCAACAGTAAACTTTCTCACACAAACAAATACCAGAACCGAACCAGCTTTTGTGCGTCAAAAAGTAAACCGCAATATTACTCATGACGGCATCTTTCAGAAACATACAGGTGCCTCTATGTGCATAAGAGAAAAAAAGGCACCAGGATTTTTTTTTTGTCAACATCTTTTTAAGCTCCCAAGTAAATATTTTTCAGGGCTGTTAATAAAGAAATATCGATATAAAAACCTGTTAGTACTTGGTCATTTAAGAATTTGGAAGTGACGTGCGATTAACAGTACTACAGTAGATGTACAATGTACTGACATTTAATGATGATAAGCAAGGTACCCTGAGAAGTCAAAAAATATGTGGAATGTACAGGGGGGGGA